CTTTTGTTACCCTTGTTACCCTTCCCCCCTTTTAACTTGTTACTTTTGTTACCCTTTTAACCCTTGTTACCCTGTTCATCTTGTAACCCTTGTTCCCTTGTTTTGTTACCCCTTGTTACCCTTGTTACCCCTTGTTACCCCTTGTTACCCTTGTTACCCCTTGTTACCTTTGTTACCCTTGTTACCCCTGGTTGCCCTTTTTTACCCCTTGTTACCCTTTTGTTACCCTTGTTACCATTGTTATCCCTTGTTACCCTTGTTACCCCTTGTTACCCCTTGTTACCCTTGTTACCCTTGTTACCCTTGTTACCCCTTGTTACCCTTCTTACCCCTTTTTACCCTTTGTTACCCTTGTTACCCCTTGTTACCCCTTGTTACCCTTGTTACCCCTTGTTACCCCTTGTTACCCTTTTTTACCCTTGTTACCCTTGTTACCCCTTGTTACCCTTGTTACCCCTTGTTACCCTTGTTACCCTTGTTACCCCTTGTTACCCCTTGTTACCCTTGTTACCCCTTGTTCCCCTTGTTACCCTTGTTACCCCTTGTTACCTTGTTGCCTTGTTACCCTTGTAACCCTTTTTGTTACCCTTTTTACCCTTGTTACCCTTGTTACCTTGTTACCCTTTGTTACCCTTGTTACCCCTTGTTACCCTTGTTACCCTTGTTACCCTTTTTATTTCCTTGTTACCCCTTTTTGTTACCCCTTGTTGCCTTGTTACCCCTTGTTACCCCTTTGTTACCCTTGTTACCCCTTGTTACCCTTGTTACCCTTGTTACCCCTTGTTACCCTTTTTTACCCTTGTTACCCTTTGTTACCCTTGTTACCCCTTGTTACCCTTTGTTATTACCCTTGTTACCCTTTGTTACCCTTGTTACCCTTGTTACCCTTTGTTACCCTTGTTACCCCTTGTTACCCTTTTTTACCCTTGTCACTCTTTGTTACCCTTGTTACCCCTTGTTACCCATTGTTACCCCTTGTTACCCCTTGTTACCCTTTGTTACCCTTGTTACCCTTTGTTACCCCTTGTTACCCTTGTTACCCTTTGTTACCCTTGTTACCCCTTGTTACCCTTTGTTACCCTTGTTACCCTTTGTTACCCTTGTTACCCTTGTTACCCCTTGTTACCCTTGTTACCCCTTGTTACCCCTTGTTACCCTTGTTACCCTTGTTACCCTTGTTACCCCTTGTTACCCTTTTTTACCCTTGTTACCCTTTTTGTTACCCTTGTTACCCTAATTTTACCTTTTTGTTACCCCTTTGTTACCCTTGTTACCCTTTTTTTGTTACCCTTGTTACCCTTGTTACCCTTGTTACCCTTGTTACCCTTGTTACCCCTTTTACCCTTGTTACCCTTTTTACCCTTGTTACCCCTCGTTACCCCTTGTTACCCTTGTTACCCTTGTTACCCGTTGTTACCCGTTGTTACCCCTTCTTACCCTTGTTACCCTTGTTTTGTTACCCTTGTTACCCTTGTTACCCCTTGTTACCTTGTTACCCTTGTTACCCTTGTTACCCTTGTTACCCCTTGTTACCCTTGTTACCCCTTGTTACCCCTTGTTACCCTTGTTACCCCTTGTTACCCTTGTTACCCCTTGTTACCCTTGTTACCCTTGTTACCCCTTGTTACCCTTTGTTACCCCTTGTTACCCTTGTTACCCTTTTACCCTTGTTACCCCTTGTTACCCTTGTTACCCCTTGTTACCCCTTGTTACCCTTGTTACCCCTTGTTACCCCTTGTTACCCTTGTAGCCCTTGTTTCCCCTTGTTGCCTTTTTGTTACCCTTGTTACCCTTGCCCTTATTTACCCTTGTTACCCCTTGTTACCCTTGTTACCCCTTGTTACCCTTGTTACCCTTTTTTCCCTTGTTGCCCCTTGTTACCCTTTTTACCCTTTTTACCCCTTGTTACCCTTGTTCCCCCTTGTTACCCTTGTTACCCCTTGTTTCCCCTTGTTACCCCTTGTTACCCCTTGTTACCCCTTGTTACCCTTGTTACCCTTGTTACCCCTTGTTACCCCTTGTTACCCTTGTTACCCCTTGTTACCCCTTGTTACCCTTGTTACCCTTGTTACCCCTTGTTACCCCTTGTTACCCTTGTTACCCTTGTTACCCCTTGTTACCCTTGTTACCCTTGTTACCCCTTGTTACCCCTTGTTACCCTTGTTACCCTTGTTACCCTTGTTACCCTTGTTACCCTTGTTACCCCTTGTTACCCCTTGTTACCCTTGTTACCCTTGTTACCCTTGTTACCCTTTGTTACCCCTTGTTACCCCTTGTTACCCTTGTTACCCTTGTTACCCCTTGTTACCCTTGTTACCCTTGTTACCCCTTGTTACCCTTTTGTTACCCCTTGTTACCCTTTTTTACCCTTGTTACCCCTTGTTACCCCTTGTTACCCTTGTTACCCTTGTTACCCCTTGTTACCCTTGTTACCCCTTGTTACCCTTGTTACCCTTGTTACCCTTGTTACCCTTGTTACCCTTGTTACCCTTGTTACCCCTTGTTACCCCTTGTTACCCTTGTTACCCCTTGTTACCCCTTGTTACCCTTGTTACCCTTGTTACCCTTTGTTACCCCTTGTTACCCTTTGTTACCCCTTGTTACCCCTTGTTACCCTTGTTACCCTTGTTACCCCTTGTTACCCTTGTTACCCCTTGTTACCCCTTGTTACCTTGTTACCCCTTGTTACCCTTGTTTCCCCTTGTTACCCTTGTTACCCCTTGTTACCCTTGTTACCCTTGTTACCCTTGTTACCCTTGTTACCCTTGTTACCCCTTGTTACCCCTTGTTACCCTTGTTACCCTTGTTACCCTTGTTACCCCTTGTTACCCCTTGTTACCCTTGTTACCCTTTGTTACCCCTTGTTACCCCTTGTTACCCCTTGTTACCCCTTGTTACCCCTTGTTACCCCTTGTTACCCCTTGTTACCCTTGTTACCCTTGTTACCCTTTGTTACCCCTTGTTACCCTTGTTACCCTTTGTTACCCCTTGTTACCCTTGTTACCCTTGTTACCCCTTGTTACCCTTGTTACCCTTGTTACCCTTGTTACCCCTTGTTACCCTTGTTACCCCTTGTTACCCTTGTTACCCTTTGTTACCCTTGTTACCCCTTGTTACCCTTTGTTACCCTTGTTACCCTTGTTACCCTTGTTACCCCTTGTTACCCCTTGTTACCCTTGTTACCCTTGTTACCCTTTGTTACCCTTGTTACCCCTTGTTACCCTTTGTTCCCCTTGTTACCCCTTGTTACCCCTTGTTACCCTTTGTTACCCTTGTTACCCCTTGTTACCCTTGTTACCCCTTGTTACCCCTTGTTACCCCTTGTTACCCTTGTTACCCTTGTTACCCTTGTTACCCCTTGTTACCCCTTGTTACCCTTGTTACCCCTTGTTACCCCTTGTTACCCCTTGTTACCCTTGTTACCCTTGTTACCCCTTGTTACCCTTGTTACCCCTTGTTACCCCTTGTTACCCTTGTTACCCCTTGTTATCCTTGTTACCCCTTGTTACCCCTTGTTACCCCTTGTTACCCTTGTTACCCCTTGTTACCCCTTGTTACCCTTGTTCCCCTTTGTTACCCCTTGTTACCCTTGTTACCCCTTGTTACCCCTTGTTACCCCTTGTTACCCTTGTTACCCCTTGTTACCCCTTGTTACCCCTTGTTACCCTTGTTACCTTTTATTACCCTTGTTACCCCTTGTTACCCTTGTTACCCTTGTTACCCCTTGTTACCCTTGTTACCCCTTGTTACCCTTGTTACCCCTTGTTACCCTTTGTTACCTTTGTTACCCTTGTTACCCTTGTTACCCCTTGTTACTCTTGTTGCCTTTTGTTACCCCTTGTTACCCTTGTTACCCCTTGTTACCCTTGTTACCCCTCTTTATTGTTACCCCTTGTTACCCCTTGTTACCCTTTGTTAGCCTTCTTAACCGTTATTACCCCTTGTTACCCTTATAACCCTTGTTACCCCTTGTTACCCTTGTTGCACCTTGTTACCCCTTGTTACCCTTTGTTACCCCTAGTACCGTTGTTACCCCTTGTTACCGCTTGTTACCCTTGTTACCCCTCTTTACCCCTTGTTACTCTTGTTACCACTTGTTACCCCTTGTTACCCTTTGTTACCCTTGTTAACCGTTATTACTCCTTGTTACCCTTATGACCCTTGTTACCCCTTGTTACCCTTGTTACCCCTTGTTACCCCTTGTTACCCTTTGTTACCCTTGTTAACTGTTATTACCCCTTGTTACCCTTATTACCCTTGTTACCCCTTGTTACCCTTCTTACCCCTTGTTACCCCTTGTTACCCTTGTTACCCCTTGTTACCCCTTGTTACCCCTTGTTACTCTTGTTACCCCTTGTTACCCCTTGTTACCCGTTATTACCCCTTGTTACCCTTCTTACCACTTGTTACCCCTTGTTACCCTTGTTACCCCTTGTTACCCCCTGTTACCCCTTGTTACCCCTTGTTACCCTTGTTACCCCTTGTTACCCCTTGTTACCCTTGTTACCCCTTGTTACCCCTTGTTACCCTTGTTACCCCTTGTTACCCCTTTTTACCCTCTGTTACCCCTTGTTAACCCTTGTTAACCCTTGTTACCCTTTTTACCCCTTGTTACCCTTGTTACCCCTTTTTACCGTTGTTACCCTTTGTTACCCTTGTTACCCCTTTTTACCCTTGTTACCCCTTGTTACCCTTGCTAGTTAAGGGTACTAAACTAGCTTCACGTGACAAACCTCCTGCATACTGCTAGGACTGCAATGTTGATATGTGCTCCTAAAGTGAAGTTTAACTCTTGTTATACTTAAGAATGATGTATTTCACTGTTTTTAAGTACTCATATGTCTCTGTCTTGTTACGTTTTTTATCCAACCAGTTAACTTGATGGGGTAATAATAATAATTATGATCCTTGGTTTGCAAAGGAAGTGTTTACCTTGTTATACTGGCCGGATTTGTAAGTTGCATGTTGCTGTGGCTTGTTTCGCAGGTTTTGTTTTAAACATGTTGGCTTTGTTACCGCACATGCTGGTGCATTTTGATGAACCGGACGAGTTCAGCAAGACGTGTGCCCAAAACATAGTACAGGTACAGCTCACACTGTTGTTAGTTTGTCAAGACTAACGCTGCCCAAGCTTTTGACCCCCTAAATATTAATAAGACCTTTTTTGAGACCCCTTCTTAAGCTGAACAGTTGAACACGAATTACACTTTTTATTCAATTGTAATCTTTACGATAGTCTTCGATCTATCTTTTACAGAAACATTAGTAATAGATAGCCCCTTTTTATAATTTTGACAACAGTGAAAAAAACCCTCTTTGTGTTTAATAATTTCGATGCTCTTATCTACAGACTGACAGCTGCTTACATACATTGATGTATGGAATATATACAAGATCTTGTTCTTTAATTATAGCCTTTGTTTTGATATAAGATAATGTAGGTAATACCATGTACTCACGTGGGAATACTGAAATAAAGTTGTTGTTGAATTGCCTCAATAAACCTCTGTCTCTGAGCCTCTGATATGCTAACGTCTTCAATGACCTCTGCACACAGAAAGTGGTGTGTTACTCAAGAACTATTACCTATTTGTAATATATTGCCGAAATTTTTGTAATGTATAACTAACGTCATTTTGTCCTCTTGCAGATTTGTACTAGTTCTACAAATCTCGCGCACTTAAGCAAATTGTTCGTCATGTACATGGAGAAATCTTACCACAGACCACGGGCGACTTGGCTGGACTCTGTTTGTAGATACATAAACGACGTTTTTGGACATCTCTGTAGAGCACATATCACCTTCTTGTTAGAGGTATACATTGCTATTTTCATTATTATTGGTAGTCAGCTCAGGATAAAGAGATCCGCTAGTCTTTGCAGACCAGTACACCCTGTTCGTGCGTCTTTGTCTCCCACACCAGTTTGTTCTGGACACCCAGCAGGACTAAAAACGAGGCTCGTTGAAGGGCGGATGATGAGCTCTTAGTGAGCCAATAGCTATGCTCTGGAAACGCTTTAGGATTAGGGTTGTTAGTGTTATATAGCAATCGAGAAGATCTTGTTGGCACAGCTTTATCGTAAAGCCCACGTAAAGTACGAAGATGATGATTACAAAATGATTGCTAGTGTACCCCCTTATTGTCTGCTAAGGGTAAAGCTTGAATGCATCTGTGGGGTGGCTTGAATTAGAAGAGAAAAGTAATTAAACTGTATTCTTTACAGGTTTTGGAGCGTGGTCCGACAGTTTACCATCAAGCAGTGTTGGGAATGATTTGCTCAATGATGAAACTGGGCGACTTCTCCTCTCCAGCCATGAGACACTTCCAGAACGACGTACTCAAGGCGATATCTAAATACCTCAAGGTAAATAACGACACGAATGAAAGTGAATCACCCCAACAATTTTAGACATAAAGTAGGCCGACAGGGAAACAGACGGACAGTCAGATAACTGGACAGACCAACAGACTTTGAGAAGGCGTCTAGGACAGGGGGTTTCACGAACAAGACCCGAAGTGCTACGTGTAAAAATACTTCATTATTCAAATATTATCAGCTCTTGTAGGATTGCTAGCCTTGCTATTCGCCAGGGCTAGAACTTGCGTCTTGGCCCCCCCGAACAGGCTTGGTCAATTAAGGATCTATTTATGGCCGAAACAAAATGTTTTCTTCTTGGTCAAAGCAGGCGATCCAGGGTGGGCACGATATGCCCATCTTGTCCGTTCTGGGAGCCAACCATATCATAGTCTTGGCTTCATCTTGCCCGCTCGGGGAGCCAGCCATAATGGTATGATGCGCAATGTTATTGCACATATTTGAGCTGTTTTTCCCTTGCCCTTTCTAGGGTAACCTGTGGAAAGAGTCACTTGACATATTGAAGATGGCAGTGTCCCACTCGTCGCACTTGGATACACCTCCTGCCCGACCCGCCAGCTCCGTATGGACTGTGCATGACAGCTCCTGGTCGGCAGAGGCTATGATGATTAAAAAAGACCTCCCAGGAAGAACTTTGGACTTTACTTTTGATCTCTCCGCCACTCCTGTCATAGGAAGGCGGGCTACGCCAGAGATATCAGGAGAGATGGGTAGGGAAAACAAGCTGCTTTCCCAAGTATCCACGGTGGATTTGTCAACTTGGAAGAAACCGTATCTATCACAGGTACACGTAATTCGTTTTACTGTTTTTACAGGAAAAGGGCAATTTCGAAGGAGCCAATTTTTTTTTTGTTAAGAGAAGAAACACGAAGTGGTGCTATCCGTCTTCATCCAGTATCCTTTTGGATGGGGCAAAACCGTTCATATGATTCACATACCTGTTTCCTTAAGCAAATTCGAACCTTAAGTTTGTCTAACCTCCCGCTGATTCGAACCATTTTACTTTTTTCCGAGAAGGTTTGGAAAATCCGACCCCCCATTTCCAATATTTAAGTTATTTGAGAAGGTCAGATTACCAACCTTATTTGCGTCGCTTTTATTCTAGCGCCGTACTCGTGAACGCCTCGTGAACGTGCTGACGACGTGCGGTCACACAGTAGGACTGAAGCAAAGTCCATCAGTTGTGTTCAGCTCAAGCAGTGACCTTGCCGTAGAAAAACAAGGCGTGAATCAACAGCCATCCTCTGAAGAGGCGTCTCTGACAGAGGGTCTCACGAACGAAACTAGCAAAGATGAACTTGAAACACAACAGGTTAGTGGTGAATGTTGTTTACTTATTTCAGTAATGTGTTGTCTGCTCGTGTGGAATTACCCACAGTGTTTCGCCTCATGTAAGGTAATCCGAAACGGTCTTGGATTTTGGATTCCACGCTTTTTTTCCAGGTACTTCATTCCGGATTCCTTGTCAATGAAACTTGGATTCCGGAATTCTGGATTTCAGGAGTCCAGTGTCCAGGATTCCTGATTTTGCAAGCAAATATCTCCTTAGCCTGTGCCATGCTCTCAGATACTTTGGACGGAGCGAAAATCTTTGAGCCTGGATTCCTGGTTTCCGAAATCCGGATTACCTTCCATGGGGTGACGTCTTCCTCAGGTCTAAAACTTGTGGCTCGGCTTCAAGGCCCCAAAAGCCGACGTTCGCCAAAAATTGTGTTTTTGTATGGCATTTTCAAATTTCCTTTATCGTAGTGATACTTTTCTCGTCTCGACAAAAAGGGTAGGAGTATGAGTTTTGCTGCTTTTTTCCTTCTCTTCACCTCCGTACATCAAAAAACAATCTATGGTAGGTTTAATCTCTAGGTCATGTCAGTATGAGGGTATTGTACGAGTTGTCCATTCGAAATAATCAAAATGTTTTATTTCATCTCTCAAAAGGCTCATTACAACGACTTTTCAGACTTACACACTTTCATTCGTTGTCTCTTCCAGATAAGCGTATTGACAAACTTTGACTTTTTGTACGACGAATCAGAAGACTCGGCCTGGGGACCCGAGTACGAGGATCGTCGTTTGTCGTATTGCATGGACGTGGGAAGTCTCGACCGCGATATGAAGTCGAATCTTCAGACTCTGGAGTGTTTGTCAGGTAGCGAGCAGGATCTCACTCCACACGACTCTTCAGACGATGAAGATGAGGTACTGCGATGTTTCTTGAGCACATAACTAAATATAATCGTGATTGAATGTAACAAACACGCGTCAGACTGTCTTATCACAAAACTAATACCGAGAAGACTGTTTAATACGGAGTCGTTGTGTCGAAGTCTGATATTATTCTTTAAATGAAGCGATTGTGAAGGACAAGTTAAGACGGCAAAAGCGAGCCCTGTGCGCATTATTTGTCATTTATTGATTCTCAAATACTTTTGTTTCCAGCTTTCTCGCTCTCTAACTGCTAGTACCCTGACCACCGTCTCAGATACAGCTAAAACTCTGGAAAGCTCGACGGAGTCCTCGTCGGCTCACGTGACTGTGATTGTTATTGACAAGGACGAGAGGCAGCCACAACGAAGTCCGTCTGTAGACAGGTACTGATATTTGTTAGGGGTTTTATACAGTGATTTAATGGAACTTTCAAGTGTTTCTTTTGGAAACCAAACGCTTGCGCTTTGCCAGCTCCTGGACTAGAGTGACACTGTCATGTAATGCCAAGCCAGTAGTGAGTTTACACAACACGACGGCAAAACGCTTGTGTGTGATAAACGTGACAGGCCCTTTGCTTATGTGTTTTGTGGTGAACTTCACTTAAGTGAATGTTTTCTGGCCTTGTACAAAACGACCTGTTTAAAGGAGGGTGAAGTTCGGCGGAAACGTTTTTCAAACAGAATTATTGTCACGCTTGTCACACAAGGATTGCCGTCTTCTTTCCTCTTCCGTCCTGTTGCGTAAGTTCACCAATAAAAAGCCAAGAGAACTGCTTACCACTATTTTATTCAGCAAGACGGCAAGCTTGAGCTTGTCTGAAATGCGCATGCTCTTAGTATGAGGCTTGGAATGAGTGTGAAAATGGAGTGGGAGACTGGGAAGGGGGGATGCGAGAGTTGACGCTTTCCTCGCTTTTGTTGTTTGTGCTTCTTTTGGCAAAAACCTGTGTTTAGGTCAGCTTCCAATGGGACTGACTATTTCCACTGGTCGTCTCACGGATTGATCATTGAAATAAAAAGGCCTAGGCGCTCATTCTTAAAGAATACTTTAAGCAAGTATTCGTACATCACAGATTGAATTGGATTTTGGAATTGTTAGCAGTTGGGTACTGGGAAAACCGGAGTACACAGGAAGAAACCTCCGAGCAATGAAGTGAACCACATATTGCGTCACTTCCGGGATACGAACCCTGTCGACATTGCACATTGGTGTTAGTGACGCGCGTTCGCCACTGTGCCGCTCTTGTCTTGTGGCTCACTTAGTTTTTTCGAACTGAGCCTTTGATGTAGACGTCAAAGTTTTCTCGTTTCCTTTCAGCTCGGACTCGCTACCAGGTGCCTCGGACACCAGCTACTCTTACAAACTCTTCGCTGTCACTGAGATCACGTGGGACACACGTGATTCGCCCGAGAAGTTGTGGGCGGCCCATGTGGGCTCTATCGTCAAGGACACGACTGGAGTAATCGCAGTCAATACATTCTCTTTGTTCTGTCATCTGTATAAGAGCACGCGCCGAAAATTCTACAGTCTAACACGAGAATGCTGCAATTATGTGGCAGAAGACAAGTTCCGTGATGTAACCCGGCACTTCTCGAACACTTTGGAGTTTCTCATGTCGCGTGGCGAATGCCCGTTTGTGTGCATCGATACAGAGACACTCAGCCGAACGAAACTGCTCGAGAGGCATAAGTTTTGTGTCCTGGAACTCCATTCGCATTTTGACAGCTACGCGCAGAGCAGCGAACGAACGCTGGAGTGTCTGGACGATGTGAAGTTAGCGTTGAAACGATCATCTGTTGGTTCACATCACGAAGAGCCCGAGACACGACTGGCAACCGACCCCGAGAATCATGACCTGAGGCAGGTGCAGCTATGCCGGTGCATGTACAAGGCGCATTTCCAGTTCCTGTTGTTTTGTAGTACATACGCCAGATTCCTGGAGTCTTTGGTGCAAGCCGCTAGACAAGCTGAGGTGAGCTTTGAGCATTTGCGGTGAAAGTTCTAGATATCTAGGCTTTCATAACATGAACCGCAACAAATGAGGATATGGAAACATACCAAAAACATAAATCACTATTAATCGTAACTAAAGACTATGTCTTAAATCTTGCCAAAAACTATGCTATCTCATCCCATCATTTTCAATCAAAAAATCTCCATGCACTTTTTATATGCGTTTTGCGCTTTTTTTGGTGTTGCTGATGACAATACCTAAATTTGAGGCGCCTATGCTGAAATTAAAAAAACTCCACCCAAGCGGGGTGCGTGCAGCTTTTAATCGGCGTTATGTCTTAGTCTCATGTGCTGGCCCCAGTTGTTAGCGTTGGATAGCGCGATTTACCGGATAAATCAGTATCCCGGCAGCGGATAATTATTTGGGAAATTAATTACGCCGTCCAGTGGATACAGCTTTATCTAGTTGTCAACCTTTTAAGCAACTGAGGCTTGATGATTAAACGCCAGGTCAGTTTGGGCGTTCCATATCATAGCATAACATAAAATACAGCATTTATTCAGAGCCATGTCTCTCACCTGCCCTCTTCGTTCTTTGTCCACAGGTCAATGATCTAACTCAAGAAGTAAACGAGATCCGCCGAGAGTTATCGTCCATTCTCGAACATCCACTCTCGGAAGACAACTCCTGTGCTAAAATTTACATCGAGGATAAATCTCTCACTAAAGATGCAGCGATGCAGGCGCTGGTGGATAAGCTAGCCAGTAGAGAGTTCGAACAATCTATCCATCTGGTACGAACTTTTAGAGAGCGGTTCGGGGGTGAGACGTTTGGGACATCGGATGAGGACAACCTGGATTGTCTGGTGGCGTTCTATAGCAAACATGTGGCCGAGAAAAATGTGGGGTCTTTGGTAATGTCCGGTCCATTACAGAACTTCGCATCTTTGTGTAGAGACCTTATGGAAGTTAACGTAGCTATTCTGACGGCTGTAGAGGATTTGAACGCTTAGATCACACTCTTTTGATGTTAGGGTAAAGGAAAGTTGGGATATATGGATAACTTCTGATATACAAATTACTCTTCTAACCATTTGTTAAGTGTTTCCAATACCCGCCCTTTTCAAGGCTGCAGAATGGAACTTACTTTTACTATTTGAATCCTGGGGAAAAACTTAAATTAATATGTACTCTTTTTTGCATTTGTGTGAGCTTTTGCTTCCGGCCCTTTTGCTAAATTGTTTAAGTTTATTTCTCTTCTTTCAGCTAGCTCGCTAGTCGTCGCGCAACGCTCCAGGGAAGGTGCGTTGCGTGACAACACAAGAACGGCTGTGAAACAGACTACTAGCTCGCTGAAGTTTCAATGTTTTTCTCGCTGAAAATAACGTCTGCACCTTACAGTCATGAAACGAGATAGAGAGTGTTTCTTATGGGTCAAAAGAGTTAGCAATAACATATCTAGAGTTTAAACAGAGTATTATATCTTTGGGTTAGGGCATGGGGAAGAGCCTAATTTAAAACATTTGAAAAAGTGTAGTTTCCTAGTTCAGTCAGTGTTTCAGCGCGATATAAAATCGTGTTCGTTATTTGGAATTTAGGCAGGGCGAGCAGCCATTCAACATTTTTGGGTCAGTATTTGCATTGTATTATTTATAAAGCTTGCCCGTTAAAGAATCGGTAAGCTATTAATAACCTGTAAATTTATTTTGGTGTCATTGACACGTCTAGGTGGTGGCACCTGTAACCTGGTTGTCTAAGTGTGGAATTCAGTTTGACCGAGACATTTCAGCAATAATAGTAACTGGAGATTAAGACTAGTTTGAATATCAAGGTGATTGTTGAATAGGTGATTTTGCGGTAGATGTTGTCATTTTTTACGACTATCAGTATGCTTTAGGATTTTGTTTCCTCTTGCAATTTACATTGTTTGTGCCCTTCCCCCCATCCCCCCCCCCCTCCAAGGCTAAGTTCACACCACCCCGGATAGCTTGTCTGCCGCCACGAAGGGCTTCTGTTCACACACAAGAACAATGTTGGCGGCGCGATTTCTGTGACGGTTGTCAGAGGTGGAGTGTCACATATCGGATAACAGTTTACACGAAGCTATCCTGTATAGCCTGTGTACAGACCCCCCCTCCCCTCAGGAAAAATCGATTTTTCCCCAGGGGAGGGGGGGCGGGTGTCTGTACACGGGCTAATCCGGTATGGTGTGAACATAGCCTGAGACGTGTCGTCACGCGTTCTTCCCCAGAAAGGTGTGCGTTGCGTGACGACACAAAAAATGACTTGTTAGCGGGGGTTGCTAAATTTGAATAGGAAACGAAAAGCGAAATAAATTCTGGTAGTTGTGGTAAGATGACGCTATCGCGAAAGTGGCCCGGCCACCTGGTTGCCTACTAAACTTGCGAGATTCTTTGATGAATACTTGTCATTAGTCCTTTCTTCAGTGTTTAAGTTTCTTAAAGTCGCTCTTTTAAACCATAAGCGTTTTGTATTTGCACTGAAGGAAGATAAAGGTTTCTTAAGTCGTTTCGAATCACATTAATACCGAGTCAATTGCATCAAGAAGAAATAACTTTGATTATTTTCAATAATGAATTTATTTAAATTATTTTAACATGTTCTTTATTTTATTGTAATAAGTAATGATAAAAAATAAAGAAATGATCTGCAATAAATTTAATATTCCTAATTATTTGAAAGTGGATCATTGGACTATGCAATTCTAGAGCTCTGATTGGCTTAGCCATCATGATATATGAGCCATTATACCATGCTCTCCAAATATGGTAACTGTACGTGTTTGCTCAAAATTAAAAACAAGCTGAAAATCGGTTTATTTTACAAATAAAGTTGGGAATAAATCTTGATATTTTGTGGGTCTTAAGAACAAGTTTTGTAGAAAATAAGGGACAATCAGGTCCTTTGTCAGTTGACAGTAAAACCCAAAGCAAATGTCAGTAGTCAGTTAAATTTTCGGCTATTTGTCAGTTGTCAGTTAACCCCATCCAGAACCTCTTGCTTTCATCCCATCGATCCTAAAGCGCGTGCAAAGATGGCAGTTAACGTGAAATAAGGTCTATTAAAATGACCACAGGCTCTCCGCTGTTCAAGGGAAACGGCGCAAAAATCCCAAAAGGACGGCGAAACTTCACTTACATGTATTTGCCTGACTTACCCGAATCGCCTTACTTAGGTTTTTTTACAGTACACATCACTGTATCAGGAAAAAAAAATGTGAAGGCTTTTTAAATGCATAACTTATGGCGCTTAGGGCATGTCACCTTCCTAAGTAGATTCAGGAACGAGGGCATTAAACTGAGACCAGATTCTCCGTACATTTAGGTTCTGCCTACACGAAACCAGATAGCTTTTTATGTCACTTTAGGATGAATATCTGTTTGTACTGCGCCGCGCCAAAGGTTGGCACATAAACCGCGCGTGTACTCCACGATATGAAACGATCCAATTTCAAGATCGGCGCGGCACAACTTCACTCCGTCAAGGACACCGCTCCGAAATCACTGTTTTCATGTGCGAACATGCAATGCCCTATCCGATATGGTCAGGTTTTGCGCGCAAGAGCTATCCGGTCGGTAGTGTAGACATTGCAAAAATCAGTTATAAAAGAAAATAAACAAAGCAACAACAACTTAACAAAAAAGACATTGAAATCCAAAGTTGCCTAACCACAGTCTAGATTTATTGGATTTAGTTCAGTATAATTAAGTGTACGCCAGGGAAAGTTAAGCTTAAAAACTGCGCCGAAAAAATTTACACTGTCAGTGTATACAAATGAGTGGGATATCGAAAACGTTTTTTTCTCTGTCAAAGTCTTGGTCAAACAGTTTAAAAATACAAACACTCGCCTAGAGGTTCACGACCGCACGGCTGTGTAAGCTTTCATGCATGATTTTCTCAAAGGTAAGATAGCTTCTAATCTATTGTGAGCCCAACTTTTTCAACTCAGTAAAAGAGAGCAGTTTAGTTTGTAGTCAGAATGTTTCCTCATGACGTCACGTCCGCCATTTTGGTGCCCCAAAATAATGAAATAGGGGCCATGTTGATCCTGTGGGAGTTGAACCTCTTCCTCAAGTAAAAACTTTCTTTTGTTCCAATATATTTGCATAGCTGCTGGGCACGTGAATGAAAACGCTTTCACTCTCTCTCTATATTTCCACACTGATCTTTTAACTATCGCGGATTTTATATTTGATTGTAGCGTTTGTCTTCAGGTCTCTCTCAATGTCAACAAGCTAAACAAACTAACGCAGATTTCCGTGAATAGAGGAAATTATGATATTTGCCAAGAAGGACGTTTTTTTAAACTCAAAAAAAGTGGATAAGGTCGGTGGAGGTGGTTCAGGGTGGGGACTTTAGTATTTGTGGCCACCCATAAGAAACGCATTGCAATAACTCCTGCGCTCAATATCTCTGGAGTCCAGTTAGTGCAGTGGCTTATTGCGAATCTTTGGCGAAATCGTTACAGAGTGGGAAAAAGCGCGAAATTTGGCACAAGGTTTCTTTTGGGTGCAAGGAACAAATTTAGAGGGGGGTACGACGTGAAACAACAATCCATGGGGGCGTGAGATGTGATTTCATTTACCCTTACACACATCAGTATGAAAGCGAGCCTGACACACAGTCAAGGCGAAGCTTTTCGTGCTTTGTTTCGCGATTGACAATAAAAAATATATATACAGAAAAAAGATTGTCCGAGTATCTTTATTACTCATCACGCTATTTTCGATGTTGGAAATTGTTTGTTTGGGATACGTACAAAGAGAAAAGTTTGAAAGAATCAACCAGAGAGAAGAGAGGCACAGGTGAGAGACGAAAATGAGTAAGAAAAACGTGAATCATGTCGTAAACTCAAGTATTGCTTTGGAAACGAACTAGACCACGCCAGAGATGTTTTATTTTGGTAACATAAACGAATATTAGTCAATAAAAAGTAAGTAAATGTCAATTTCAAGCTTACAAAAGGTGCTGAAAATGAAATGCTTGTATTGACCCCCCCGGATTATCGGATCTTTTGGCACCCCTTCTAAATTTGTTTTAGATACTCTAAAAGAGCATCTGTGCCAAATTTGGTGCTTTCTTCCAGTCTCTAACGATATTTCCTTCAAACCAAAGCAATAAATACTTTAAATTTTTAATAATACTTTTTTCCCGTTGATATATACTCATGGTTATTTTGAGGAGGAGGACAGTACAGGGGGACAGGGTGAGGGATCCTGAGAGGATAGGGCGCAGAAGGGGTATACTAATCTCGTACCCAGATCTCACTCTGTTTTACTCCCTTGGCCGTGGGAGATTAGGGGTATACGGAAGGGGAAAAAAAAGAGTGAAAAGTGTGAGTTCTGAAAGGGTGGAAAGAGGAAGAAATAGGGGGAAATTACGCAACAAAATATGCTTAATATTTCGCAATGGCAATAGGAAAGGTCTACATAAACGGTAGAAACCAAGAAAAAAGGGGTAGGAGCCGGGAGTGCAACGTACAGAAGGGGGGAGGCTTGGAGCCCCCTATCCCCCAAAAATATTTAAGAGCTATATATTATTTGAGTTACTCCTATTCTCCATCCTCTCGATTCCCCCCCAGCCCCGCCCCCGCCCCTTCCCCAAAACCCTAAGCCCTAAGATCCATTAACATTTTGTGTAAACTAGTTAAGTGAATTTACCGAATGCGGCTTTTCATCTGGAACATGTGTTTAAAAATACACTTTACTTATTTTTCTCATGCTAATGCAATCTGCACCACATTCAAACTATAATCGCAAACATCAAACAGACAAGTTTCACATCTGCACAGGTGAGAGGAAAGCCTTTCCGTTAAATTCAAGTCTTTTAGTGAATCAACCACAGTTTGTTTCAGCCTGGTGTGAAGACTGAGTGCTGAGTACCATGTTGTACGTCTTCTTTACATTGTACGTGGCGTTTGCTGCGTCCGAAAATCCAGACGGTAAGACTTGTTTGTATAACTTGCTTTCTCGTTTAAGATTGCATGCATAAAAGACATAGACATCGAAAAAGAGCGCTAATCCGCTAAAGTATAACACCCCTCTGTAACAGACCCAGTGACATCTTCGCGGGGTTTTCTTAGAAAAACATTTTAGGTCGGTTAATTTTCTCGTGAGTCGTGAAGCACGGTAAATAAAATAACTTAGGGAACAGGGCAAGTGACGAGAAGCTTTGAGATTTGTTAAGGCAGTCGAGTGAGATTTTCCTGCCATCCCAATTGCGTGGACTGATTTTTTAAAAGCCGTTATAGCTTAGCCCGGGAAATAAAATAGGACCAGAGAGTTTTGTATTGGTAAGGTCATGTTAATTTGAGCTGGATTATTGATATTAACCTTGGGCCAATGTTGGTTTGTGCTGGTTTATTGATATTAACCTTGGGCCAATGTTAGTTTGTGCTGGTTTATTCATTCAGAATTTTCTAACTTGCATTGTAGAGAATAAGGGTTTGTATGATCCAGACCTTTATGAAGGAGACATGATTCTCACGCCTGAGCAACGCATGGCGGCAGAAATGGGACTGGATGTAGACAATCCAATGGGAAAAGCTGCGACTAAAAACAGACAGTGGCCTGGAGGGGTCATGGCGTACGTCATCGACTCAAGTCTATGTACGATTCAATTCTTTTTCTTTAAATAAATATTCCTAATTTAACACTGATTCAACATAACAGCGCGATTTTTCAGAAGCAAATGTACAGTTTTTCATGTTCTGTAACCCTTATTTATCCACGTAATTTATGGATAGTTTACTTTACAATATAATCTGTTATGACTGTAGTAACCTTTCCTCTCTGCCCGTTCTCTGCCCGCCTCGTCTAGCTTTTGCTATTTGCAGGTAAAGATGGCAAAACGATGAGTATGAAAATAAAGTATGATATGTGTAGATTGGCATTCCACTTATTCTTCTATTCATAAGTGTTCTGAAGCAGAAAATTCCCACCAAAGTGTTTCAGTGCAACGAGGAGGCTGGATGATCAATGGTCGGCTTCTTGATATTGTAAGTCTGGGGTGTGTCGACACCATAAACAGTCTTAGTAAGATAGATCAGTAATCAAAAAGTTCATTTTTGGAGGTGAGTTGAATCTAGAGTCAATGTAAGGACTTTATCCCGGAAAAGAAAACTGCTGTCGTACTCCATGATAAAGGGGTTTCCTATTAAGCGGGTGTTCGTAAAGCAAACTAAGACTGTTCAATGGAAAAGACTTGACACCTTTTACTGCAGTTGAATTAGTCATGGCTGCTTTTTTATATTTTCCATTCAGCTCGAGATTCCAAAGCCATGAGTGCCATCAGAGCGGGAATGGAGGAATGGACCAGCAAAACTTGCATCAGCTTCAAGAGAAGAACAAATGAAGAGGCTTACGCTAATTTTAAGCTTGGCTCAGGGTAAATACCTTGCATGTATCACACCAGTAAATAATACGGAATAACCATTAAAATAATATGATTTATACGTGAATGTAATGGCTTTTGCTTTATTGTCATATCATGGTAGCTGTACATCTTATGTTGGACGAACTGGTCGCCGTCAAGATATCAATCTCGGTCGTGGGTGCTGGTCCCGCGGAATTGTTGCTCATGAAATCGGTGAGTGAAGAAAAGCAGGGCAGACATAGTCGAAAACTGTAAACTGTTTAAAACATGAGATATAAAGGCCTTGTTCTCTAAACTTCAAAAGACACCAATAACTTCAAAACATCTACGGAAAATCTATTTATTCTCATTACAATCCGGCCTTCGGTTTTTTAATATGTTGGACATCGATTATCTCGTACGCAGATCTGACTCTATCTTAGCTTACCCGTTGGACTACTATGCGCGTATGCTGAGATATGGAATCAGTTTTGATCGTTTTCTTTGCTTTCAGGGCATGCACTAGGATTCTATCACGAACAGTCACGGCCTGACAGGGATGATTACGTCACTATCATGTGGGACAACATCATTGAAAGTAAGCTAGAACAAAAGAGTATTTCGTAGTTTACACTACGCATGTAATTTAGTCGAGCGAATTCCTTTTTAGAAATATATATAGTATTTCAACTTCTTCCAATCAATGTTTGTAGCTCTGCATAAGCTATAATTAATTTGTATCCTAATTAAAAAAATTGAAACAGAAACAGAACATGTTTATGTGGTTCTAGTATCGTTACATCAAAAGGGATTCAACGTACTATTTTGGAAATTTTGCTGTGATTACATCAATTCTCATGTTCAACAAGCCGACCTAGTCTATTTTCCTTCTGATTTTCTTGTCTTAGTCTATTACTACATTGTATACTTTATATAATTCTTTAAACTCGTTGATAATCTTTAGAATACAAGTATGCTTTCAACAAGTATAACCGTGGAACAATAGACTCTTTGGGAACTAAATATGATTATGGGAGCGTGATGCATTATGGAACTAAATATTTCAGCAAAAATGGAAAACCTACGATCGTCGTCAAGAAGGCTGGGGTATGTAATCATTCGATCTTTAAGTTGTGGAAAAAAATCAATCTCATTTTTTCTACGGCCTAATTGACTATCACTGATAAAGAATTATTAAACATGCCTTATTATCTTACTTAACTGGTATTTAGTTGGGAGTATCCATAGTATATACCTAGCCGGAAGAGTGCAACCATTGCTTTTTTTTTTCTTCTCCTCCTTCTCTTCTCCTCGCTCTTTCTTTTTCTCCTTTCGTTTTCGTTCGTTACTGTGATTTTGGAGCTTCTCGGGCTTGAGAAACCTGACTTTTGACGCCTTTTCAATCAAATGGTTGGTTTTCAAAAAATCGGGTAGATATATCATAAAGGGAAAAAATACATGAAACAGAAATAATCAAGTAAGAAAATAAACGCTACAATAGGTGAAACTTTTTTTAAGAAAATGTTATTTTGCTTATTTTGTCAGTGACTGACCCCAAATCAGTTTGATGCGCGAATTCTTTATTCTTAAAGAGAGCAAAGACAATCTTATATTCTGGGTTCCATATTTACGCTTTGGATTCCAGATTCCAGGTAATGGATTCTGGATTTCAATGGTAAGTGGGATTCCGGATTTCAATCGTAAGTGGGGTTCCAGATTCCTAGAACTGAATTCAAGATTCCAAATCCCGGGATTTCCAATTCCACAAGCAAAATCTCGCTGGAATTCCTAAATTCGGAGTACATTACATAGGCCAAGACCGCGCCGTTTATGCAAAAATCACCCGGATATTCGTAGTCCTAAACTGGGGAAGATGCAAATTTTGTCCAACAGCTGGTAATAACAGAACAGTTTAAAACACCAGCTTCACCAGTTTGTTGCCATCATAATGTATTGCTCAAAAGTTGCTTTCCGCTTTCTGAAGTTGTTTTGAATTTTTTTTTAACAGGCTACCATAGGTCAGCGGGATGGTATCAGTACAATAGACGCGCAGCAAATGAACCTGCTCTACAAATCACATTGCAATGGTGGTGGTGGAGGAGGCGGTGGCGGAGGTAAGTGGCATATTCTTTGTACAACTGTTTATAGGATGACATAGTTGTGACTGCTACTTAACTGCTTGAATGGCAGGAGTATGTCACAAAACACAGCAGGGGCTTATCTGTGTAGGAGGCCCGAGGTAAGCACAGTTTTCCAAATTAACCCTATCCCTTTTTCCCAAGTCGTTTCCATGCAAGTGACATGATTAAATTTTTGTTTTCCTATCAGTATCGTGAGGTAATCACCTTAGTCTTGGACTTCAGCAACGGTTTGTGACTTTTGCGTGTGGCATGGTTGGAGAAAACTCTGTATTTTTCTGCAAAAAATTGCAATTAATTGACTGAAGTTAAAGTTAAGTAGAGTTACATGCCCATTGTGTGTTTCTACCAATTTGTATTTGCCGTCTGCTTTCTGTTCAATTCCTTTGCTTTGTATTTCTACTTCATTTTTTTTCTTCATGTCTTAACCTGATGGGGATTATCCTCGAGTATAGACCTTTTCACGATTTTTTTTCAACTTTTGACATGGACAAGTTGGGGAAAATCCGTCGACAACACTGAAAAGAGCTCCTTAAAATTATTAAAATTGTCAAGTTCGAATGTGATTTGTTGAAAACTAACGAAGATACAGCTCCCCAAAGTGGCGCGAAATTTCAGAGGAATTTGTATGGGGGCGGGCACAAAAACTTGCCCCCCGCCCCACCATACAAACGTCTGTAAATTTTCGAAACTTTGTGGCGTTATATCTTCGCTCGCTAAAGGCGTATCACTTTCAAATTTGGCAATTTATTAATTTTAAGGCCCTCTTTTTAGTGGTGTCGACGGATTTTCCCTAACCTGTCCATATAAAAAGTTGAAAAAAAAAAAAACTTGAAAAGGTCTGTTCCAGAGGATACGTTTACTCCAAAACTGGCGATGGACTTTTACTTTCTCTTGTTTGCTATTAAAATAAAAGGTAGCTGCGTAGACAAGGACGACAGGTGCTCACACTGGACGAAATATTGCAGCAGTCACAGATACGTGAGAGAAAACTGCAAAAAGACCTGCAAACTGTGCTGAGCACGCGAAAATGGAGGCAAGTTAGTATTCACTTTAGATTACTTTAATTAAAATGTTTCTCCGCAATTTCTCTGACTACAGTTTTTCCAGTCAGTGATCACGTGGCCTTAAAAAATGTATTGAGCGCAGAATACGACTTTTTCAATTTGTTTCTGTGAAGCCTCAATGTTCCCAGAAAATGAACCCTCTGTTTTATACATCGAATGCATAATTATTCACCTGTAATAATCCATTTTTTAATGGACACTAAGGTTATTTTTATATTGCGCCTCTACTTTAGCATCGACCGAGAAAAGCAAAAATACTTGCAGCTCTATTGTAGCAAGAAAAATTCACACGCCAATTTTTCCCCAACGGTACAGGCTTATTCAGACTGGTTCTTTACCTGACATGTTGTCGTTTTGTTTACATATTGCAGTTAAGCAATTAAAGATGAATTAGGCGCTTTTCGTTTCTTGACAATCCCTTTTATTTGGTATAGTTTAATAAATTTGCGTATTTGATTTCTTGCAGATCACTTGCCTCAGGAAATAAAACTGACTGGCTTTCAAAAAGAAGTGGTTATTTAACAAGTACAATGAATAAATAAAAGAGCATTAAAAGTTTTTTAGGAGGTTTTTCTTTTGCATTTTTGTCCTCAATTCGACCTTAGAAACGAGAAGAGGTCTGGTGCCGAAATGTGTCCCAAATTGCTTCTGGGATCGTTACCGGAGAACGCGTCGGTGAGCTATTGGCCAAATCTCGTACCCAGATCTCCCACGTGTAAAACAGAGTGAGATCTGGGTACGAGTTTACTATTGGCCAAGTTCTTCCCTGTCCTTAGTAACAGTCCCGGCTAGACGGGTTCAGTAAAGTGGCCGAAACATGTGCACATTTGGGAGAAGGTTCTTTAGTCAGATTTTGTTGTCAGATTAACGAGAGAGTTCCTCGTAAAAATGCCACCAACTTTTTGTCACTACCAAAATTCCTTCCTATAACGGGTTCCAACTAAGCAGGGTACAGATTTTTGCACTTCCGGGCAAACTCTAGAAAAACATAAATGCGTCAGCCAGGGATCCTTGAAAATAAAGAATACAATGATACATGGAAAGTGCTGCTTTAACGCCTTTTTTCTCAACATCATTACAAAAAGGGTGGGTATAAGCGACCGCCCTGTTCATCCCACCCCAAACAAGGTTTAAATAATATTTTGGTCCAAAATCGAAAATATCCCCGAAGACCATTTTTAAGAATATTTTCCCCAAAGAAATCGGTGAAAAAAAATTTAAATTCTAGATGAAATTTGTATAGGTAATATCATGATTTGTATATTTCAAAATTGTTATACATAATTTCACGAGCCGTTAGGAGAGTGAAATTTGAGACAATTTTGAAATGTCACGAGTAGTATTTATGCCAAATATCAGGCACAAATCATGCTATTATTTGTTTATACTACTACCCACAAAAGGGTTGTAATTTTCACATGTAGGTATTTCAAATTAAGCTGAAATGCTACTGCTCTAAGCCAATCAAATTGCAGAAATTTCTTATGTAGTAGTGTAAAAAAGCTAATCCTTGGGAAAAACCTAAATTTGGCGACCATCTTAAATAGAAAATTTAAAGTATAGAAAGGCTTGTTTTGTAACTAGAGGATGACTCAAGACAAGTTCGAGGCTTATTCTTCCGAAAGAGTCAAAAGCCGACATTTCAAATTTTATGCAAAAATCATGGGCTAACCCCTTTGAAAAAATTCAGCGTTGCCGAAGATCTAAAAACGGCATTTTTATAGTCTAGAAAAGCTTGTTTTCTATCCAAAACATTACCAAATACCATTTCTAAGCTTATTGTTCGCCCTAAAAAGATTAAATAAAGAACAAGCACTGAAATAATTTCAAATTTTTGACCTAATTCATGGGTTAACCTTTGAAAAATTCCAATATTGTAGACTACCTAAAATTGACATTTTTATAGTCTAGAAAGATTTTTATCTAATCATACAGAAAAAAACAATATAACAATACTGTCCAGTTTCAAGATCGGCGCAGCACAACTTCACTCCGTCAAGGAAACCGCGCCGAAATTAGTTACTAATTTCAATAAGTAACTAAATTTCAATTAGTCACTAGAATGTTTTTAAAGAAAGGGCACAGCTCAGACTAGCAGAAATGTAATTGCTTTTTACTTGTAAATTGGCTCCTACAATATTCTTAAATTAAAATTTCTTTTTTTAATGCTTTTCTTAAAAATAATTCTTTTGTTTTGTAAATTTTCACATAATATGCATAATTATATTTTCTTAGTAAATTCACAGATGTGTTTCTACCATGTAGAGAAACCGTGAAAAAATTATTATTATTATTATTATTATTATGATTATGATTATTATTATAAGTGTTCAGTTCATGAGACTGTTTCTTCTCCAAGGGCCGCGAGTCCAATCCTTGGACCTGGGGCACTTGGGAGTTTCTTTGTCGTTATTGTCACGTGACGGATAGGACTTCCCGTAGAATATGCACCATTCCCATTGACGCTCTTGTTTGAATTTCCCAGAGGTTTAAAATGTTCCCTGGAATTTCCCTGATAAGCTTTTCTGAGCCTTTCTTAATTACCCCTAACGCACTTTAACAACCACTGGAATTGGTTCTGTCTTCATCTGCCACATTGTGATAAAATTTATTATTATTATTATTATTATTAAGGCATTGAGAACTCTATTTAATTTTCCTCTTTGTTCGTAATTTTCTTAGTAAGAATGCAATTGACCTTGAAAGTAGTTTTTTTAAAAAAATCGAAATGGAAATTTTTTTTAATTAAATGGATTTTTTCTAATCAAAACTAGGTGTTTTTTAAAACGAAAGGAATTGTATTATTATAATAGTGTTTTGACGAAATAGTTTTTTTGAAGTGAATGAATTGCAAATAGTCATTATTATTATTATTATTATTATTATTATTATTATTATTAATCACCGTGTGAACAGTCAATGCCCTATCCGATATGGTCAGTTTTTGCCGGCGCAAGAGCTCTCCGGTCGATAGTGTAGACATTAAAAGAATCAGTTACAAATTAAAGAAAAATAAACAGAGCAACAACAACTTAACAAAAAAGACATTGAAATCCAAAGTTGCCTTGCTGCAGTCTAGATTTATTGGATTTAGTTCAGTATAATTAAGTGTACGCCAGGGAAAGTTAAGCTTAAAAATTGCGCCGAAAAAATTAACACTGTTAGTGAATACAAATGAGTACGATATCGAAAACGTTTTTTCTCTCTTAGTCAAAGTCTTGGTCAAACAGTTTAAAAATACAAACACTCGCCTAGAGGTTCACGACCGCACGGCTGTGTAAGCTTTCGTGCATGATTTTTTTTAAAGGTAAGATAGCATTCTAATCTATTGAGCCCAATTTTTTCAACTTAGTTAAAGAGAGCAGTCTAGGTTATAGTCAGAGTTATATACGTCTGCCATGCATATCGGTGTCCCAAAACAATGAAATTATAGCGGCCATGTTCAAAAGTATTCCAAGCCAGTCCAGTGGCCGATCGAGTTGAACCTTATTTGTATGTAAACTTTCTTTTGTTCCAATAAATTTGCGTAGCTGCTACGTGGGTGAAAACGCTTTTTCTCTCTCTACCGTGTGTATATATTCACATATAGATCAGTTTATTGTATATAAATATTTTATTGTAGCGTTTGTCTTCAGGTCTTTCTTAATGTCAATAACCTAAACAAACTAGCGCAAATTTCCGTGAATAGAAGAAATCATGATTTCTGACAAGAATGGCTTTTTTTTAAAACCGCAAAACAGTGAATAAGGTCAGTGAAGGGGGCTCAGGGTGGGGACTTCAGTATTTTTCTTTTTATCGTGACCACCCTGATAAGAAACGCAATGCAATAACTCCGGCGCTCAACATCTCTGAAGTCCAATTTAACCAAAGCTATAACCAGGGCGTTAGATATGATAACATCCGCTTATTAGGCGTGAAAAAACACTTCAAAAACTCCCCTATTAACTTTTTCTGGTTGATATATACTCATAAAGAGAGAGCTTTAATTTAGATTTTAGGTCGACAACGAGTACGTGTGTGAGATTTAACTTAAAGTTTCTGCGCGTGTTCCGTTGAAAAAAACAAAAAACAAAAAAAAGACACCCCAGAAAGCTTCAGCTTCCTTTTTTTTCACCGATACTGAAGGAGGTTAAGCGCTCTCCCGATAACAAAATGATAAATCTTCTTCTTTCATTTGATAACTTGTTCCCGCCACTACGACATTCTAGCTAAATCCCGTTGTAGGATGACGACGGCTATCACTTTTTCCCGCCAAAATGACGTTGTTTCTCGTGTGAGCAGTACTCAGTATTGAGAAAATCTCGCCCTCTTAGTCGTCCTCATCTCAGAATCTTAAGCTCTCTGTGGGGAGGACGACAAGAAGAGGGGCTCGGGAGGTTAGGGTAAAGGGGGTAAGGAAAGGGGGAGAGAAAAGAGCGAGAGGTGAGAGAACTAAAATGGTGGGAAGCGGGAGAATAGGGGGAAATTACGCAGCAAGGCCTTGAAATTTCGAAATAGAAAAGGTCCAAAGGGTTAAAGCCAAGAAAAAAAGGGCAGGAGCCAGGGGTGCAAGGTACAGGAGGCGGGAGGCTTGGACCCCCTAGTCTAACCCACTATTTAAGAGCTATATATTTGCATTACTTCTATTTTACATCCTTTCGAAGCCCCCCCTTCCCTAAAACCCTAAGCCCTAAGAGCCATTAACATTTTGTGTAAACTAGTTAATTGAATTTACCAAATGTGGCTTTTCATCTGGAACATATGTTCAAAAATACACTCTACTTATTTATTTATCATGCCAGTGCAATTTCCACCACATTTAAACTATAATCGCAAACATCAAACAGACAAGTTACACATCTGCACAGGTGAGATGAATGCCTTTCCAATAAATTCTCAAGTATTTTAGCAAATCAGCCATAAGTTGCTTCGACCCGGTGTGACGACTGAGCACTGAGTACCATGAAGTGGTTGTACTTTGTCTTTGCATTGTACTTGGCGTTTGCTGCGTCCGAAAATCCAGACGGTAAGACTTATTTGTATATACTCTTTTTTATCTTTCTGCCGATTTTAGGCTGAAAATATTCTTGTATTATTCTTAGATTACATAGCTTATGACATTTCCTTTTTATGATATATTGGGGTATCAATTATAGTTAGCCCAGGTTTTTTCGTTTTGTTGTGTAGTTTTCCCCTTTAGAGAATGGAATCAGTTGAAACCATATAATTGTATTGTATTTTCAGCTTTTGAACAGACAAAAATATATCCTTTTCAATATCTCAGCCTGGGGTTAATTCTTAAAATATTCTTAAAATTTCGCAAATTTCAGCCTCGATATCTCTTATAAAATATTTTCTTATAGTGTAACTTGCTAGTTTAAGATCGCGTAAAAGATCTAGACATCCAAAAAGAACACAAAGCCGCTAACACCCCATTTTAACAGACCCAGTGGAATCGACATCTTCACCGGGTTTTCTTAAAAAAAATATCTTAGGTCAGTTAATTTTCTCGAATTTTCCATTGTGTTTGTTTTCCAGTGTACCTGCTATCGTCATACAGTTTTCTAAATTTTTATGATGGGAGGCACTGCCTTAATCCGAGAGAGGAAAGTGGAACTGTTGTAGAGAATTAGTTAGAATTACAGCTAACTAGTGAACGTCGTAGATAGTACTCACTGAGAACTCAAATTGCACTATAAGAGAACTCCGCACCTACGGTCAAATAATGAAATGAATCAATCAGCAGGGTACACAGAACGAAACGTACGTCGTGAAGCGCGGGAAATAAAATAATTTAGGCAACAGGGCAAGTGTCGAGTAGTTTTGAGATTTGAGTGAGATTTTCCAACCATCCTAATTGCGTGGACTGATTTTTCAAAAGCCGCTATCGTAGCCCCGGAAATAAAATAGAACCAGAGAGTTTTGTATTGGTAAGGTCATGTTAATTTGAGCTGGATTATTAATATTAACCTTGGGCCAATGTTGGTTTGTGCTGGTTTACTCATTCAGAATTTTCTAATTTGCATTGTAGAGAATGAGGGTTTGTATGATCCTGACCTTTATGAAGGAGACATGATTCTGAGGCCTGATCAACGTGTGGCGGCAGAAATGGGACTGGATGTAGACAATCCAACGGGAAGAGGCTCGACTAAAGGCAGACAGTGGCCTGGAGGGGTCATGGCTTACGTCATCGACTCAAGTCTATGTACGATTCAATTCTTTTTCTTTAAATAAGTATTAATTTAGCATAGCAAATGTGGAAGCAAATGTACCGTGTAGATTGCTATTCCATTTTTTCGTTTATTCATAATTGTCCTGAAGCAGAACATTTCCATCGAAGTGTTTGTAACGAGGAGGCTGATTAATGGCCAGCTTCTTGATATTGTAAGTCTTGAGAGTGCCGTTATCATAAACAGTCTTAGTAAGATAGATTAGTAATTAAAAATTTCATATTTGGATGTGGGTTGAATCTAGAATGTAAGGGCTTTACCCCGGAAAAAGAAAACTGTCCTACTCCATAATAAGGAGGTATTCCTGTTAAGCGGCTGTTTGGAAAGCAGAGTAAGACTGTTCAATGGACAAGACTTGCCCCAAGCAGTTGAATTAGTCATGGTTGCTTTTTATATTTTCCATTCAGCTCGAGATTCCCGTGCCATGAGTGCCATCCAACAGGGAATGGGGGAATGGACAAGCAAAACTTGCATCCGCTTCAAGAGAAGAACAAACGAGAGGGCTTACGCTAATTTTAAGCTTGGCTCAGGGTAAACATCTTGTATTTCACCAGTAAATAATTTACAATTAGTCTTTGAAATAGAGATAAATATTCCTTAAGCCATGGTAATTCTCAAGTTTACAACTGCCTAATGGTTTAAATGCAGAGATGCCAACCTCTGGAGACCTAAAATCGGGAGACTGTCTTTTTTTTCACTACCCCCCCGGAATTACAACGAGTCCCCCCCCCCGAAAACTTGACCCAGCCCGCAACCCCCAATGGGAATGACTTAGGACATTATAGGACGTCTTACATGATGTACAAACTGTCAAAATTCGAAATCATTGTTTTGATACTGGAAATAATCTTTGTCAATGACTAAATACGTGCAAAAATGCCCCAGAAACCGTACTGCGAATATGAAAAATTCAAGTTTTGGGCCAAAAATGGGCTAAATCTCAAACTAAGTTTGTTTTATTTTTTACTAAGTATTCAATATTTATAGTGGACTTAAAAAGCGGGAGATTTATGTACCAAAACGGGAGAGCGGGAGACGAGGCAAAAAAGCGTAAGTCTCCCGCCAAAAGCGGGAGAGTTGGCATCACTGTAAAAAATGGAACCGTTAAAAGTTTGAATTGTTTCCTTAACTGAACAGAAAAGTAGAGCTTTGTTATTTTCTGTTAACTTGACAAGTTAGTGAAAAAGGTTTCTTGTGTCGCTCTTCGCATGAAGTGCTGACATGGCGGGATCGGTAGCCCGAGGTAAGGCGTCGTTTTCCTGTAGGATTCTTTGTATTATTAACTTGAAACTCATCATGATTTCCCCAAACATTTGCTTTTATTTTCGTTTGTTATAAATAAACTTCGATTTCTGGGCAAAAGTTTTCTTGTTAGGAAACGCTGAGTTCACAAAACGGCCTCTTTTACTCGAATGAAAAGTAGTTGTAAACATTCCATCGAGCAAAAAAAATCAGCTAATAAAAGTAAAAGGGAAAACGCTGTTTTGAATCCTTGGAATTCTTTTCTTGCCTTAAAAACGTCAACCCTAGGATTCTGAGGACTTTCGAAAGATCGTTCTCTGCAAAAATTGGAAAAACACCGAGCTCATTATCCACTCGCTAGGAGGTGAACCGTTGTTGAACAGCCCGAGATAGCGAACCAATCAGATTGCTTTAAACACCAAGTTCACTGGTGAATAATTGTTTTAGTACATACACACGAAGTGATCTCAACAGAATCAGAAAGGAAACTATTAAAAAAAACAATTAGTTTGATTGACGGGTGAGTTCATGCGTAAACATGTAGCCGTAAACAGTAGATGTACAAAAGCTAGATCTTTACAGTATTTTCAAACATGGCAAATAATAGTTTTAATTTTGTTCTAAAATTTACAGTGTTCTCCCTAAATTTTAGCTCAGCAGGTAAAAGACCATTCATAGCTAGTAAGGGAGAAAAATAAGGCCCAGAGGTGCAATTTCCTGAGGGGGAAGGGGTAGTGAGGGACATGGCCCGACCCTAAGAGTAGCTAAGTTCTTTAAAACGCCATTCCCTCATTTTAAGACCTATTTTACGTATCCTTAGACAACAATTTAAAACGTTCGATTCCAATAATTCTACTCTGTCTTCAATGACCTCTTTTCAAAATGCGTGGCCCATAAAAAGAAAAGCCGTGTATACCTTAGTACTTTTCCATATACTGTATTCATTCACTTCCTTGATCGGATCGAATCACAACTTGCGTATTTTTCAAACTACTCATATAATTTTAGTTAAGCTTAAAGCGCTTGCAGACGGTAAGAAGTGTTGCTTCAGGCGGTAAATTTTACAGGTTACTGCCTGATAAGGAGAACACTGACTACTTTAGCATCAATGATTGAAAAGAAAATGTTGAAAGTTAAATATCTCAGGGGCACCCAACGAGGATATAGTTCAAAACCACTTAACATAGCATTGTTGAAGGTATTTTAGTATTCAAACGGTAAATATAGGCATATTTTTATCCCCTAAAAGCTTTTCATCTGTTCGGATTTCCTAGCTGAGAGTCTAGTGATCCGAAAATTATAGGGATAAAAACTTACCTTCTCGAAAATTTCAGCCAGGAAAAGGCTCCCGAAAATTCTAGGTGGCCTTTTTCAGGGTCAAAATCCGTTAAAAATGGGTAATTATACCATTTTGTCGATGTTCGAAAATCCTAG